TTACGCAGCAGGAAGAAAAAAAAACAACAACATGAAAGCTACTGGCAGAAGCTGAGAATGGAAGGGCAAACAAAATCTTGGCATAGAGAGCAGTATGGAATAGTACAAAATCTCTGCAGAGGAAGAGGTGTCTGAGGGGGAAAACAAGACATCAAAAAATTCCTTGGCATGGGAGAGAACAAGAAGGACAGAATTGATATTGCAGGGACAGGACTTTTGGGGGATGAAAGAAGAAGTTGTAAAAAAGTTTCAGAAAAGAATAATACACCAGGAGCTTACAAAACATGCAGACTCCAAGGTGGTGTAAAGAGTTCAGCTTACAGAAGCAACAAAAACACAGGCAGGCTTTGGTGCTAACTTGTGCCAGTTACATTTCACACCTGTTCTCTGACTTGAAGACTTAAGAGTGGGCATATTCCTTTCATTTCCTACTAATAAACCCATCACTTGGAATCCACTTATTCAAGCAAAAATATCTTAAAATGGGCTTGATAAAACAGTTTCCTGAAAATGCGTTTTCTTACATATCAGTTGCACGCTGACACAGCAGTGACACCAACTTCAGTGACCCAGAATATTTATTACTTATCACTCTGGCTAGCACTGCAGAAACAGCATTATGGGAATATGGCCAAATTAATTTCTTTCTAATGGGGCAGCAATATTAGGTTTCATGTTCTCAGCAATGACCCCTGAAGGCAAAGGAGTTCCAAGTAACAGAGTTCTGAAGACAACTGGCCTTTGCAGCTCCAGAACAAACCCAAACACTACGGGAAAGCTTACACTGCCCTGGAAGCCAGAAGGTCGTCCTTCTCATTTGAAAACGTCTGATTAGATATCAAGATACAGAGCTTGGTAAAGACCCATTTCTATAGAGACAAAATAGATTCTGCTGTGAATGATCTACAAGGGTCACACACACATTGCATAAGAACCTAGGAGAGTATTTTCCCCAGTCCAAGAAAAAGTTCGGATAGCATTCTGATGGTCCTCTTTGCTGAAAAGTTCTTGCAGAAAAAGGCCTTTCTGCAGAAATCTTAGGAGGCTGAGCAGCACAGAAATACTGTAAATAGTTTGTTCCTTCAGTACACTGAGCAGCCCATACATGATCCAAAGGAAGCAAAGAAGTAGGGGGAAAAAAAAGCATTTAGACTAACAAGGCTGTTTAGGTTTTCTTCTCCTTTTACCTATTAATTTACCTGGCTCTCACAAGGATTAAAGTGTTTTAGGGGTGCTTATCAAAATGACACAAAGTTCTGACACCACAGATGGCAGGAGATCTGCAGACACATTAATAAAGGGAAAGTTGAAAGAAGGTACATTAAAGCCACCCAGCATTTTGCTCTGGGGTGTCACTATAGTAACCTGCTGCAAAAGAACTTTTGCCAATGATTCACTAGCAAACCCTGTGTGCAAACATTACCAAGATGCTGTAAAACAAACAGTCGTCACAGATGCACACTGTAACAAGCACTACTGCCCAACAGACAGAGCAAAAGACTGAAGAAAACTAAGCCCCCATTCCAGGTCTCACAACTCAACATCAGGCATGTTGCTTCCCTTCTGTACATTGGTTTATCCTCTGAAAAAAAGGCTGTAAAGGACTCTGAAATGCATCAGTAAAGCACAGAAAAAGGTCTGGGATTTTTTTGACCAGCATGCCAGGAAGCCCTGATGTGTCTGGTTGAAAACAGCTGAGAACGGTGTGTGCACCCACTGTCCTTCCTACAGCCCTTCTCAGACTTGTACTTCAAACACAAATGAAAGGGATGCAGGGGTGAGAGCACACCACCAAATCATACCAATCACAAAAGTGTCATGCTGTAGTTGTGGCAACACCTTCACTTCAGGATTTCAGAACATTACAATTAATATAGCTGCAACAAGCACCAGAAAATGTGCTGCTCCAAAGCTAAGGTCAACTTTTATAGGGGCAGTAACAACAAAATTTAGGCAGCTAATGTCTTCATCATACAAGATGCAAAAAACTCTTAATTGTTGATGATATGTTAAAATTATTTGATATCACCAAAGCCTACCACAGCTATTAACAAGAGACTTAGATGAATAACTGGATGAATCATTAGGCAATTAATGAAACTGAAGTGAAAGATCCAAAGAAAGTAGTGAGAACACTGATGGTGTGGTAAACTCACATTTTCTATTCTTACATCAAGAATAGAAACTTTTTAAATGGGTTTCAGCTGTGCTGGAACAGTCAGTCCCTAGAACTGGAAACACAAAATGCAGATTTCTGGGCTGCATTCTACAGGACATCACTCTTAACTAAAGACCAAGGGGATAAACCACATGCAGAACGGCAGCACTGGAAACCAGCCCGCATGGACTGAAGCCCCTGTCCAAAAATCCCAATGTGAAAATAATCCTGAGCCACACAGAACACTGAAATCCCTCCACTACATGGCTAGCTAGCATCTGACCCACAGCACAGTGATAAAATTTTAGTTGTCAACAACAATTAAGAAATAAAGCCTCATAAATAAGAACAATTTTAAATCCTTTGTAAGGAACACTCATGCCACCTACCTCTAGGTGTCTAATGCAGGCATCTGGATCCCTTATCCAGACAACAGAGATGAGCTCTCATCACAACTCTCCAGGCTACTGGAAATACTTCTAAGTCTAATGTCTACTAAACAAGGGTTCTTCTGAAAATGAGCAGCTTTCCAACAAAATGTTGAAGATGGCCATTTTAACTAGCACAGTTACAGGAGAGAGAACAGCATTATCCCTTTTCCATGCTGCAGTGGATCTCTGCACCATTAAACAGAGAAGGAAAAATGTCTTGTTCCTCAGGCAGATGACAACCAAGAGACAGATAAAGGAACTATCTTCATCCTGTTAAGCAGTTGCCACTTGTAGTCATCTAAAGCTTTGACCTATTCCTCCAATTTCCCTATTAGCTTAAAAAAGGAGACAGGGTGGGAGAATATTTCCATATTTTGCAAGTGTTTGTAAGGGAGCATTTGCAGCTTTCAAAGTGCTTTGAGATTCTTAGATACAATACTGTAAGTAGAATGTATTAATTTACATTTACAGATGCAAATTTAAAATTTACATTTTACATCAATACATTTTGGAGACTGGGGATTGTATGGAGCACTTCATTCTTCCCTTTCTGATATCACTGAGATCGAAGTGAAACAGAAAACTCACAGAAAATGGTATGTCTCAGCCTTCATGATTTGCAGATGTCCTAATCCCAAAATGCACCAGCTACACAACCACATCATCATCAGAAAGAGCAAGGAACGAGTACGTACTCGTTGCATACGATGCCCGTAAGCTCAGTAAAAGCAGCAGCTGACTTCAGCAACAGCCTGAAGAGTACACTTGGGTACACATGGAAAGGAGAAAGAGACCAAGACTACATCTGCAACAAGAAGGGTCTCTGAGCCCCACATTCACCCCAGTGGGTGGCAGGATGAAGTGTGTAAGGACATGGAATCTCTGTGCACTCGGGCTTCTGCTGCTGCTTCATCTAACACCACTTCCATTGACAGAGAAGATGCTCCAGAAAACTAAAAAAAAATTTTTTTTCACCATTTCCCAAATGCAGAATTCAACTGATTTGACATTTTTTCCTTTCATCAGGAAAGCATTTTAGTTCTTTTGCAGCCTAAGGATGAAGTACAAAGCCATGCATACAAATACTGGACTCAGTCACATCAACTACAGATGGCTGTCCCAAACTCAGGCTTCTTCTTGGAAGGAGCACAGAAATGTTCTTAGACTATCTAAGATGTTGGTTTAGGACTTGAAAATTCAATTACCTGTATGACTCTCCAGGTTTCATTTACCCATATCATAAATTTGGGGCACAGTCCCAAGTTAAAAAGTATGAACGCTAAAGCTTCATATAGAGGCTGTTTTTTTTTTTTTTACTCTATAACACGTATGCTGAAGATCTCTTCTATTGTTTTTCTTATTATTTTCCTCCTTTCTTCATAGATTCTTCTATTAACATCAAAGGAACAAACAAGAGTCCTATCCATGAAAAACAGCTAGAGACACATACCCAAAAAAATTATTTTAAGTCCAATATCCTTCTGGGTTTCTCTTTGCAAACAGTTTTATACCAGTTATTGTTAGAATGGGTTTCACTCAGTTGATACACTTCTGTGTAGGTCTTGTGACAGCCTACATCAAGTAATTTATTTTTCAAGATGACAAGTGGATTATTATGGTTCAAGCCTTGAAACAGGAATGAGCTCAGTAACACGATAAGGACAAATCAATAACATTGATATTTAGAACCCTACACTATGTATTTCTATTACAAGCCAAGAATATAATCTTCTAAGTCACAAGAGAACATAGATGCAATATATTCCCTGTGTGCCAGACCCTGCACTGAAAATCGAATAGACGTAATAAAAAAATCTTAGAAGTACTTAATTGTTGCTGAATTTGGAGCTATTATTAGCAAAAAAAAAAAAAAAGGCACTAGAAGCATTCCTGTGGGATTAAATAAATCATGTATGTAATTACTACTTTACTTGATGTACACAAAAGGACATTAAAGGAGGAGGAGGAGAATGTGACACCCATTTTATCAATTAAACAATATGTAAGTTATGGTATAATACTCTCAAAAATCAAACATAACTGAAAAAATCAAAGCCAAAGATAAAAATAGCAACCAGACAGGTAGAGACAGAAGTCTTTTCCTGAAGTAGAGGTAACTTGCTGATTTCGTTATATTCTCTAGATAGCAACCAGAATTATCTTGCTGAAATACAGTGTTGAGGGACAATACAGCACTCCAGACAGCCATTATCAAATGAGCACCATAACCTTTCAAATACAAAACCCTACATACATACATTATAATCCATAAGCGAAAGTAAGACTACCACACTCTCATCTCCAATATCCTTTCATATCCACAGTCTACATTAAATTGCCTTTTGCTTTACAGGCTTATCACGTTGTGAATTAATGTTTTATTTGATGTCCAGTGTTCCCCTACAGAGTAACACCATCAACAAAAAGCAATTCTGCTGAAAAAAAATTGCGTGACATGAAATCTATTTCACTTTTCTCTGAATATTATATCTCATTTTTAGTAAATTCACCAGAGAGATATCAACATACTCCAGAAGCAAAAAAGAAAGCAGGGATCCTGTATTTTCACAAGAAATAAGGGATTGTCTTGCAAGCTAAACAGAGAAAACTTAGTTTTGTCTTAAGTAACAGAACACATGGTAGAAGTTCATAAGTATTTGATTCCTTATAGCATAAAAGAGTAAAGGAGTTATTTGCGATAATACACATAGGAATGTATCTGGGAGTGAAAGCTGAAAAGACAGAGGAGATTTAAAGTTCAAAACTGTAACAACTGTTGATGGGGTCATACAGGAGGAATGCAATAGAAGAAATGCATTTTACAAAGATTCTAAAAAATTAATATGTCATTACATATTCATTTTAATATATTTCTATCAATTTTTATACATACAAATTACATTAGGAAGCAACCACGAATTGGTGATTCACTGGTGACAAAAATTAAGAAAAACAGATACACTATTGAGCAGTTAATTAGTTGCCCTTATGTTCACGACCATGCAGACCTGCTAGCAAGCCCCCAACTCCCAGTCTGTATAAAAATAAAACCCCCAAACTAGAAGTAACAGTGGCTTCAGGATGGGAACACTCTACAGGATTGAAGGAAATGAGCAACATGACAGCACAGCATCCTAACCAGGAAAGCCCCAGAGGGAATGTCCTCAGCTGCCTATGGAAGAAATACCCTGTGTTCCAGAAGTGGAGGGTCAGTGTGTGGGAACAGCTTTGTCTTTTACACACTCAGCAGCAGCAGCAGGGTAAGCACACCAGGAGGAGCGTTGCTTTGTTCTAGCCAGCTCTGAACAAGTAAAGCTACCGTGTTTTCTTCCACAGGGCTCCCAGTTGCTCATTAGCATCAGGGTGGTTAGCATTAGCTCAGCTAAAATACACATGAATCCAAGCCTATTCAAGCATCAGCAGAAGGTTCGTTATATTGGTAACCGAATTTAATACTTCTCTGACATGTTTGTTCAACTATGTCTCTCATCATGTAACTAAAGCAAATAGATAATACTGGCAGGCCATGGAAACTGCTACACCAGACCTTCTACAATGAAACACAAAAGCAAACAACACAGAAAGATACTTACTAGTTGGGTATATACACTTGCTTTAGCTTGCTTTCTGCTTCTGCTGCTTTCAATCGTTTCTATAAAAGAAGATAAAAAATTTAAAAGTTAGAATAAAAACAACATAAGGACTATTTCACCTAGGAGTCAAGTAATATACCTGTAAAAACCTTAGCACCTATTAACAAACAATTAAGTTTACCCTTCACTGAGCAGCTACCACAAAACCCTTTTCCAACAGGAAAATATCCACTGAAAACAATTGTTGGCATCAAATGACTATGCACACAGCTTTTCAAAAGAGTCAAAGAGATGACAATCTACTGTTTATAAGGACAAACTTTTCATTCCCACTCACATCAATACGAATTCATGCATTGTTCCTCCTACAATCACTTTTTTCCCTGCAGAGGACAATCTGACATATCAGTCTGTTTGTTCTCCATGATAACATTCACCAATTTGACAGTAACAGGTAGAGAAACACACCCTCTCCATCATGTGTCCTCAACAGCTGAACCAATTCAAAGTGTTCACTAAGCAGGTTCATTGAGCAGCCCTGACCCTAAACTTTGACATGAGGGGAAGACTTTTTTGTTGATACTCCTCACTTTCAAAGACAGTGACACAGATCTTTATAACTTAACAAGGCCAAGAGCACAACTCAAAACCGATGCAGAATTACCCATCAGATTTTTTTTAATTATGGTTTGTCATCGCTCCTGACTAAACACCAGCCATGGGCAACCTGTACATTTGTACTGTCTAAAGGTGAGAAGCTCTAGGTACACACACACTATGCATTTATGCCACTTTGAGACCAAAAAGAAATAAAACCCAGGCAGATTTGCAAATGTCAGGGGACAGGCAGCAAAGAACTTCAAGGCAGTAAAGAAGGGAGAAGCCAAGTAGACCAAACAAGCATTCCCTAATGAAAAACACCACTGCCAGAAGATATTGAGGAACATAAGAGATGCATGTAAGGGAAAACACATACAAGAACTAGACTTCCAGAGGATTCAGGGATTCATGTTTGGACATATACAACATCTGCCTCTTTACATGGCCCTACTTCCATCAAATCCTCCACTAACTTCTGTCCACATTTCTGGAGTAAGCTGATTAGAGGATCTTTTCAATGGGATGTCTGAAGTAAACAGTCCCAGAATAGCACTGCTCCTTCCTTTTCTTTAGCTACAGTGGTGAACTTGCTGATAGTCCATAAGAACATGGCAGAGGTAGGCAACTGGCATGAGATTTACTAACTGGCCAAGGATTCCTTTTGTAACTCAAACCTTCACACCATTTAAAAAGTAAAAGAGGCATTCTGAGGTTCATATTTTCCCTTTACTACATAAGCTACATTAATTTAGGGTGAACTAAATTCTGGAGGCCTCTAGCCCAACCTCCTGCTCAGAGCCAGGCCCATGCTCTTCAGCATCCATGCTGGTTAACAGCAGTCTGCATAACGCCAGAGCAATGTTTTCCAGACAAACCAGCAACATGCTGATATTCCAGACAAACAGATGAGCTTAACATTTTCTATGCAGCAGCCTCAGGGAACAGTCTAAGAAAATTACTGTAAAGGTAAAATCAGTATTTTAATAGAAACAAGAAGCAGCAGAAAATGTAATAAAAATTGAAACATGTATCACTGAGGAACTGGCCAAACATAAAAATCCTTTTTACAGGGACATGACAGGCATACATAGAAACAACAAAATAAAAGTCTCCCATAAGCATAAGGCTTGCTTTGATCAGAGGAACAGTCTTATGCAGTAGATATCCATCTGACAGTTCCTCACCAAACGCCTCTAGACTCCTAAAGAATTCCTCTCTTCCCTTTTCCTGCAAGTAAGTCAACACATCCTAGAAATCAAAGAATGAAGTTGTCAGACAAGAGAACAAGGACTGAGAAAACAGAACTTCTGAAAGTTATCCTGAGATTACAGGTACACCTTAAGATAGCTGCATCCAAAAGCTGATTTCTTTCTGCTGGTCTAGGCAAATTTCCCAGACTGCTTCTTTTAAATCTTGTCTAGGACAAGGACAGCTGCCTGAAACCTATCCTCAAGAAAACCAAAATGAAGACTTCGAGGAGACAAACCTTATCAATCCTACAGGGTTGCAGGAATAAATAATACACGCTTTACTGGCAATCTGGATGGAACTAAAGCAGTTCTCCCCCTGAATACAAACCAGAATTCAAAGCTGAACATTTACAAACCACCCCAAGTCTTTCTATATAAGAAACCAAAGCATCCAATGATGGGCATCAAAAAGTGCTGTGATAACAGTTCTCCAAACAGCATCAGATATCCTCCTCTACCTGCCAGAGACATTACAGGAAAAAAAATCATCCTTCAACAAAATGCACAGTAAGGTACCTTTCTGCTCACAAACTGGAGGATGTTCTACTCACAGCCTGGACTGAAAACCAGCAATTCTTTCCCCAGGCACAGACTACCACAGGAAGTTGTGTCAGCAGATGAACGGCCAACAGAGCTCATACTCTCCCCAGGGATTACAGGTATAACACAAAATGCTGTTAAACAGCTTAATATACTGCTTGATGAACCTTGTACAAGAATCTTATTTCCTTGAGACCTAAGCAGGAAATTTAGGGAACTTCCATTGGTAGAGAACTCTTTTTTTTCCCCCTCTCTAGTTCTCTACATTGTGGGAGAAAAAAGCTGCAGTTTTCTTGACAAAAGCTCCCAAAGGGACTATCCAGAATCATTGTGTTATGACAGTTCTAAAAATCTATGAATGCAAAAGCTTCATGCAAGCACAAAGCATTACCAGCATCTGAAATATTCAACTATCCACAATGTAAAGTCATTTGCCTTGGAGACATGGTTAATTTAGGGTATTAAGTAGCATTCTAGTAAATTAGTGGAGAATGTTAACCTCACACCACAGATTTTCTTTGTGATTGATGACCACAGTGCGAGCTCTGAGCTAGCAACTGCCATAAGTCACCTGGAGCAAACACCTCCTCTCCTGGAGTTGCCTGGGGACCAGTGCAGAGAATGAGATACAGTATACACACCTTCATTACAAACTAGCATACCAGGAAAATCGAAGGTCTTCAGAAGGTATCACAACGTACCTCCTGATAAGGACAAGAATGGATAAGAAGTTTTGTGCTGAGTACCTATGGCTGTGGGCAATCAATAGACTAGATATGATGATTTTCCTATTTTGTGACAGTGACTGATACCAGAAGGTACAAAAGATAGGTGCCTGAAACGCAGTCATGCACAATTTTCAGAATAATCCCTTCACAGAGAAAGTGCTTTGCTAGGTCCTTTGCCAGTTATTATTTGATTTGTGTCTGAAGTATATTTACGCTATAAATTCTTAATGTTGTCTGATGTAGTTACGAATGTCCTCAAAACAACACCCCTGATCATGCCCAACTTTTTCTGGTAGTTTCACCTAAATGAAATCTTTTGTCTTTGAGTTATTTCTATGCACACATCTTAGGTATGTCCTCTGATTTACCTCATCATATTTTCCCTATCTAGAAAGAGGAGATATCACCAACTTGTCTATCTCACAGGGACCAAGGGACTAAAATACCAAGCACTGGTACAGCACAAGTTGGTGCAAACATCTGTCCTTTATATGTCCTCTCCCTATATTTGACATTTTTCATTTTACCCACTGACCTTAAAAGAGTTTTATAATGTCATGCATCAGATAAAATGTTTGTGGTCATTTTCTAAAGAGTGGATGAGGAAATAACAGAAGAAATCCAGGAACACAGGGGATATTTCAATGTCCACAACACAAGAGTTGGGTTGGTAGACAGCAAAGGAGTGCCTCAAACATCCTCAAATATTAAGCCGTTATTATTTGACGATAGGGAAGATAAATTGCACTTTCTGGATTTAGAGGAGAACTTTGACATTGTATATTCTTTTTCAAAACTCTGAACATACAAGTGCTGCTGGGAGGATGAGAAGATGGTGCAGAAGGTAATTAGTCTATGATGCACTTAGGAGAAGTGTTTCCAGCTGCCTGTGCTCCAGCAACACAGCACTGATCTGTGGTACCTACAGTCTCTCGTCACTCGCTTGCCAAAACTGCCAAAGTTCTATGTTACTGTAGGCTTAACAGGAGGTGTTTAGGGATAAAACGTCCTACGTATGTGGAAAAACATTTCTTTGATCTTATTTCTACTTTGCTAGCACACCAGTGCTTTATGAAGGCTAGTACATTAAGATGTCACTCACAGCTCTTGGCTAGGTACAAAGGCGGCTTGCTTCCCTTAATAAAGATGTTTTCTACCCACATCAATATTTACCCAGATCTCCCTCCTTTAAGCTCCTTACTCTCACGCACTCAAATATAAGGGCACTTCCACTTTCTCTGGTATCTTCTCAACCTTATGCACACCTTAGAACTGATTTTCTCTGTATATTCCTCCTACAATTTTCTAACAGCACTCCCACATTAGAAAAAGAAGAGTAGAAATTCATAATATTTGATCTTCCTCTTGAATTTGCATGTTCCTCAAGCACAAATAAAATGCAAAAAGTAAATTAAGACCTTCAAACTCTGACGGCATGACTAATTCCAACAGTCATCTGCCATTACCACATCCCAAGCTCTTCTCAACTGCAACTCAACAGCTAGAAAGTGTTTTGTTTTATAGTTTTCGGGACTTCCCCTCATGATATGCAAAAGAGCAGAAGCATTTAAAGATTAAAAAAAAAAAACAAAAACAAAAACAACAAACTACCCCGGAATTCACAGCTAAGTAAGAACACAATCTTTATGTGGAATGAAAATGTAGGCATACCCAAACATTACATCAGCTTTTAAATGAAGAGTTTTCAAATCACTGGGGAAAGCCACCAAACAGCACTAGCTCCGTGGATGCCATTTCAAAGCTTTCTGAGTCAGAAATATATACTCTTGTGAATTGACACAGGAAATCCATCTCAATAAAAGGATGCATTCAAAGGAGACATGGGATACTGAATTGGGAATTCATCTCCCTGGTTTTCTTCAGGACAACTCTGAAAGGATGTCTTTGACAGGATAACTCTTGGGATCACTTTGGACAGACATTCAGGAGCCTGCATCAGACCACAACTTCTGCGTTGACATTGCAGTAGAATTACTCCTTCCAGCAGTTCTGCTCTTAGAGGGTCAGTCCTTCTCTTGAAATGACTGAACACCTAATTACATCTGCAACCTTCAAAAGGATGCTATAGCTGAAGCCAAACAAGAATTCCTGGATAAGAGATCCAAATGCATGCTACAAGTCAAGCCAATTTACACACATCCCAGTCACAGAGTATCCTACAC